CAGCATCCATACCAGGATAAAAGAACATGAAAGACACTGCAGACTACAGCAACCAGAAAAACCCACACCAGCCATTTATACTCCTTCCTTTTGTGCTTCACAATCTTGGCCTTTACAGGTAGTCCCCAGTTTAAGAATGAGTTCCATTCCCAAGATCTGTCTTTAAATCAAATTTGTATGTAAGCCAGAATAGTAGTATTGTATAATACTATATAAGTAGTATTGTGTAATGAACTCAAACTGTTGTGTATAACTTGAATCATTGAATCAATTCAAATTTTGCTACAATAGGCTCCGTTCTTAACTACGGGTCTTCTGTAACCCAGGTGTTCTTAACCCAGGAACTACCTGTAATTCATTCCAGTGGTGTCACAGGATTTGGTCTTTCATCATCAATCTTTGGCATTCCAAAAAATTCTTCAGATCCTTTACCAAGCTACTTTGTAAATCCAGTAAAGAGGCATCGTCCAGGATTTCTTGTCACAACTGCTCCTTGTCCAAGTCCTCTTCTTGATTTATTTTTTGTATTTCCATTATAGTAATCTTTTCAGTTTTATTATATTCCATACTTTCAAGTTCTATTATATCTGTGTCAGGTAAAAGTTGGTTTTTAAAATCTTCCTTAACATCTTCTAAAGGTTTAACTATTGGGACCTATATGATTTCTAAGATATTAGTTATTAATAGCTCAGTCCATTTTTCAAAAATTTCTTTAAGCAACTTTTAAAAGGGTTGACCATTTCAAAACCTTAGCTTGAAAGCTGATAGATGCACTTTCTTTTTTTTTCCCCCTGCCTGGTTCTTTAGTCTCTTCTAATGTCCATTTGCAACATTCAGATAATCTCAATTCCTAATATAGATTTAATTCCATCTCAGTCATTTCCCATGAGGGAATTATTTAATTATATTCTTGTTTTTCAGATCTTACAGAAAAAGTACAAATGCGTCAAATTTCTCTGGTCTCCTAGTCTGTTTATAACTTCTTTTTTTTTTTTTGCTTTCTGCCAATAATATATTGTTTTTAAACTCTTAGGTCTCTATTTAAAATTTCTTATCTCAAAGAAAGAAGGTAAAACTTAGCAGGTGTCAAATTAAACTCAGCATTTTGAAGGTCTCTAATACTGTATCCATAAGATGGTTAAATAGATCATTTCTGAAAGTGATTAGAAAGTGAGTACAGCTGGCTAAGTGTCCTTTTTAAAATTGCCGCCGTGGCTGAGAGAAACATGTCATCTCCCTTCATCTCCTGGTGCTCAATCCTGTGGGAGACCACTGTTTTATGATCCCCTCGTGAGGAGCATAGCAATTGGTGAGAATTTTGGGAGTTGCAGTCCACATCTCTGAAGGACACCAACGCTGGAGAATCATAAATGCTAGTTCCATATTCATTTGTTCCTCATATCCAGATTGCTAAACATTTAGGTAACCAGTCTAAAGCAAGGGTCCCATGGAATGGAGAAGATAAGCTTCTGAACAAGCTATCCTGCACTGGTGGCAGATGGAGTCATCTCTTTTTCTGTAGAAGTAGATCATTGCCTTTGGCTTCACACCTAGAATCTTCCCAAAGGAGCATCCTACTCTGGACATGCAACATTTATGATATATTCATACAGGTCACCTTCTGATTGGTTCTGTTGCTTGTCTATGAGCTGGTTACACCATATAAGTGGAAATTCTTTGCTGGTTTTAGGAATCAGTCCAGTTATAGGAAAACAGTGTTTGTTTCAGGAGGTCTAACATAGCATCTGTGCTGTGTTGGGTCTTGCATACAAGGCATTTCACCTTTGGAACTTCTTTCACAGTTCAACCTCTTCCCAAGATCTCCAACCTCCTTCCTTATCATGCCCTTTCAACATACAGCCTTGTTCTCTATAATGTTTATATAAATATTTCCTTAACACTGTAAAACAAGATGAAAACCAACAGCCCTGGCCTTTACAATATCATAGTTCCCTGCGAGTTGAACTTGACTTCTGGTGCCTTCATTAAATGGCCATGTATTATTTTTTGTAAATAAGATGGAACTGATTTGCCATTGCCTTCTCCCAGAATGCTTTTTCAGCTTCTCAGTCTAGACTATGATGCTGATGTTTTCTGGTACCTCCCAACTAAATATTAATCGAGTCTGACCCTGCTTGGCATTTCAAGATCAGCCAATGTCAACTAGATGCTGCCACCTAGCAGGGAACATAATTAATATATGATCAACTGCTGTGATGGAATGGACTTATGAAGGCCAGGCTCAGGGAGATAAACGTGTTCTTAGTCCACAGCGTGAGCATGGGAAGTTCAAGAGGATGAGGCTGGCACCTCCCTAAGGAATTCATGGTGTTGTGGCTGGCTGGCTTGGGAGCTGGGGTTCAGTCTGGGGAGATGGGGCAAATGAGGTATTTTTAGTGACAGAGGAGCAAAGCTGTACGTGGACATTTTAGTGTGATGCTGGAGGGGATGCCAGAAGGAATTACTGTACAGAAACTCCGTTCACATGTGTGAACATTAAACACTGCCTTATTTGTATAAAAGTCTGGTACCCTGAAGTCAGCTAGGAGACTAAGCCTTACTCATAGGGAAACGGACCGCACGCCGACGACCTAATGATTAGTCTTTTGCATCCTGCCTAGTTCTGACGGTAACCTTGAATCCCACTGTGAGCAGAAATCAAGCAAATGGTGGCCTCTTCCGCTTGAATGCTTCACGTTGCTGTATCTCCTTTAGCTCTTACACACAACGCACTGCCACCCCTTTTGGTGCCAGATGTTCTCATTTCCCCAGACCTTTGAGATCTAGCAATGTACATTATACCGCTGGTCGTCTACAACGATATTGCGAATTGCCCCGCATTTAGTCCCTGTTGCTCCCCTTTGGAGATGCGAGCGGCGCCCTACGCTCTCCTGGCGGCGGTTCCCCCCGTTCCGCGGCTTGTTCAAATTGCAACAAAGGCTTCGAATGACGGGCAGCTCCCGCGAAGAAGAACCGGGCGGTTCCTGAAAGTTTCAGCATCCCCGAAAGCGCCGTCGTTTCTCCCCGCTTCTCCTCCCGGCGCTACAAGGCTGGCGCAGCGCGGGGGCCGGCCCAGGCTCTCCGGTGCTTCCCTGCGAAGCGCGGGCCGGCCTGTCGCGTAGAGGCGGGTTTCCAGGAGAGAAGGCAGGGCCTCCAGCTGGGAGCGCTCCCCTTCGGACGCGGCTCGTCTCCGGGGTGAGCGGCGGGTGGAGCGCCAGGGCGCACGCGGAGTCGCTGGGCAGGCGGAAGGGCCTCCCCCGAGCCTCACCGTCTCGGGGAACTGCGAGGTCGCTCTTGCTTCCGCTTCCCGGATAACGGTAAGGGCCGGAGAATGGACGCCGAGGCCTGGACGCTCCTTGGCGGCGCGTCTGCTTCCCGACCTCGCCGCGCTAAAAGAGACGCGGCGTCAGTCCCCCGCTCCCCCTGA